CTCCCCACTGGGGCCGGCCACCCACAAGTGTCTCTACCCAGGAGGGCAGTGTCCAGGGCTCTGAAGGACATGGGAAGTCACCGCAGTGTTTGCCTGTCCCCAACTCATGCTCCTGTCCACGAATCAGAGTGGTGGGCCCACACAGGGTCGGCCTGTCCTGACCACAGAGCCTGGCTTGGCGGGCCTTGGGAACAACAGCTCAGGCACCCAACAGAGCCAGAGGCTGAGCGGGAGCCGTGGGCTGCAGGGGAGTCAGAAGCACCTTCCCGGTCAAGGCCTTGGAGGGGGCGGTCTTCAGCCCCAAACCCCCACTGGCAGCAGATGGTGCCAGTTGCAATGCAAGGGCCAGCTAGCTCTCTTTCTAACTCGGGAACAGAGAGCTGTCCTCTTATCAGAGACCGCAGCAGCAGGAAACAGGTGGAGGAGGTATTTTGGGGCTTGGAAGGGGCCCCCACAGCCTGTGAAATCACACCAAGTGGGCGGCCACCTACTCTACCTAAATATACAGCGGGCTCTGCTGCCTCTCAGCCGGCCACCCCCACCTGTGACGCCCTCTCGGAAAGGGGTCCCTGAACACCCCAAGGCTGGAGCCATCCCCACACCTCGCCCTCGGTCCTTGCGGGTCAGCGAGTCGGAGACTAGAGGGTGCTGGAGAAGTCACACGCAGCCAGCCTGACCTCCGAATTATCTGGGGTCCCCTGTGTGGCTCCCTTCCTCTGGGGCTTGCCGTGTCCTCTCTCCATCCCTGGCCTTGAGGATGGTCGAGGTCATCTCTTCCCAGAGGTGCAGCCACTTCGGTCTGAAGGTCTACGTCCTGGTAAACCAAGGCCACAAGAAGGGCGTTTCCTGGATCGGCAGCCTCTGTCCAGGAGCTCTGACCCAACCCAAGAAGGGCCAAACCCCAGGGCTGGAGACTGGGGAGGGGACAGAGGGAAGGCCACAGCCCCTGTGCAGGTTTTATCCCCATAAAAGAGAAAATCATAGCTGGCAATTTCCTTAGGAATGGGGGACCCGTGCAACCAAGAGAGGCACATGTGTCGGCCCCGGCCTCGTCATCTGCAGGATTTGAGCACCTTGGTGAACGAGGGAGCCTGTGTCCTGGCCAGTGGCTGACCCCACCTGGGAGACTGCGGACCCACCCCTGGGGGTCTCTGGGGAGAAGGCTGGAGGGCAGACCTGCGTTCACTCCACCTCCCACCAAGCAGGAAGCCTGTCTGCACTGAGCGTCTGTGCCCGGAGGAGCACGTGTGCGTGCTGGTGCCAGGCCAGCCTCCCCGCTGGCTCCGCATGGGGCTGGGGATCAGTTGCCGTGGTTTTCACGTAACATGGCGGGCGCTGCCCTCTCCTCTGCGCTGTGCCCTGCTCGCCGTCATTCCTTCATTCATCATCCCTTGACCCCCTTTCCTTGTCCCCCAGCCCCCTGGGTGGCCCAGGAGCGGTCTCCCTGCACCCTCTCTCTACACCCCAGGCACCACCTCCTCCATCTCCCCGGCAAGAACGTACAGCAGGGAGCAACCAGGCGGACTCTGGCCGCAGGGCCCCGAGGTCCCCGCTGGGATCCTTGTGGGCTGTGGGACTCCGGCTCCTGCCCCTCGCAGGCTGCGTGTCTTCCAGGCAAACACAGCGCCTGGCCGGCAGCAGTGGCTGTGGTGTCCGGGGAAAGCTCTGAGGCTTGGTATCTGTCAGGAAGTGGCCCCTGGGCCACTGTGCTGGGCATGGTGGGGACCAGGCTGCCTGAGGGTTAGCAGCTGGGCCAGCCCCACCCCACAGGCCCTCGGGGGGGCGCCCTTGGGGCATCCAGAAGGCCCAGTTCCCATCAGGAGCTGGGGTCCAGTCATGGGCTGCAGTGCACTCTGGGAACCTGGGGAAAGTCCAGATTCCTCCGGGGCAGGGGTCATGGCATTAGACCCAGGACCCTCGATGTCCCTGGTCACTCTCCTGCCCGGTACTCTGCACTCAACTCACTTGCACACTCCTTGTGATGGGGCACTCCCTCCCTCCAAAGCCAGCCCCCAGCTTTTGCAGATGACTTATAACCAAACTTCTGGACACAGCTGGCCTGTTCTCCCTGGACTCACAGACCATCCTGTGTGGGGCCCCCGGTGCCTCTTCACCTCTGCAGGAACTCTCTGGGACAGCCTGGGAGTCTGGGAGCCATGATCCCACCCCAGCAGTCAGGCCAAGGTACACAGCACCCGCCCAGAGGTGCATAGCCCGGTGCGCTGCTCAGGGCAGCCACGTGGCTCAGCCCTGGGGGACGCGATGGCCACAGCCTGGCATCTCAGCCCTCAGATCTCAAACCGGGGCTTCTGGCCAGGGCAACCCCACCCCAACTGTGGAAGCACTTGACCTGAATGGGCTCCAGGGCAGTGGTGACCAGCCTGCCCCTGTCCAGACCCCTGCTCTGGGGAGAGCAGCTCTGAGCTGTGGGTTGTGTGCGACTCCCTTTCAGCAGCGGTGACTCACGTCCTGCACCAGGCGGTGCGGGGCTCTGTTTTCGTGACTAGGATTTTTTTTTTCTCCTTGCGATCTAGGAAGTTACTATAATTCATCCTGAGTCTCACTTCTCGTGTGCTGCAGCAAAAACACCATTTTAGCTTCAAAGGAGAGGCATTCGCTTTTGGAAAGCAGTTGGCCTGAAGAGAGGCTCTTCCGGCTGCGCTCCCGCTGCTGGCCCTGCCTGCCTCCTGGGCTGTGAGTGCCCTGGCTGACGACACCATCGCACCCCAGGCTCTGAGCCTCCCGGCTCGGGGAGTGATGGACGGGAGCCTTGGAAGGATCCTGAGGTCCAACCCCAGCCCCACATCCAATGTCCACCATCCCTGCCGGCAGCAGATGTCATCAAGGGCTCTGTGCATCGGTGGAGTTGAAGCAAAGAGTCCCCTGCAGCCCAGGAGTCCAAGACCGAGGGAGTCACTGCCTCGGCACCGGGGGAAGCCTTGGGTCTGGGGACAACAGAGCTGTGCCAGCCCTGCACAGTGTGGGCCAAAAGCTCCATGTCTCTGAGCCTCAGTCTCCTGCTCTGGGTCTAACCAAGCGGTAGTGAGACAGTGCCTGTGACATTTGTTATGGTTTAGACCATGTGTCCCCAGAGGACCAGGTTGGGGAAGGGGGCTGGATCATGGGGATGCTGTGTGCATCCGTGGTCCATCCATGAGCTGAATGTGCCGTCAGGAGGCGGGGCCTGGTCGGTGGCGTGATCAGGAAGGGTTTGTTGCTCTCCCCTGCTCCTCCCTTCTCTCTCTGCTTCCTGGTGGCCATAACCTGAGCAGCTGTCTTCCGCCAGGCCCTTTCACCATGCTGCTTCTGTATTTGAGTCCGCCAACTGTGGACTGCAACTTCTGAAACTGTGAGCCCAAGTAAACCTCTCCTCCTTTGAGTGTTGGGTGTTGGGTCTTGCATCCCAGCCCCAAGAAAGTGACTCAGACCGCATTGTAAAGGAGTGTGGTTAATATTACTGATCACCGCACCACACCCCATCCTAGCTAAACTCATCTGAGCTAAACTTCAGGGTCATTCCTGGAGCCCAGCAATGGTCCACCAGCAGAGAGAGACAGCAGGGGCAGATCTGGGGAGCCTGGTCCTCTCACCAGCTGTGGGAGAGGCTGCTTCTCTAGCCCCTTGGCCACCATCACATGGCTCTGTTTCGTGGACAAGAAAACTGAGGCTCAAAGAAGCCTGGCCTGTGTTGCCCCACCAGCAAGTGGGGGAGCTGGGAGCTGACCCCGGTGTCTCAGTATCACTTGCTCCTCGGGATGGTCACCCCGAATCACAGGACATTAAAGGGACTGGAGCAGCTGTCACTCCCAGGCATCCCAGGGAAGCCACAGAGAGGCCTGGAAGTGACTGCTCCTTTGGCCCTGGGCCCATCTAGGTGACTGGGGCAGCTGAGCCCCACCCTGCAATCTGAGGTTAACCAGGCCCTGCACGCTGCACACTTTCTGTCACCTGCCAGCCCAAGGAGGGGCGCTGTGAGATGGTTTTGAAGAGAAAGCCCCCCCCCGCCGTGAAGCAAGCTGGCCGACTCAAGTCAGGGCTCGAAGGGTCCCTGGGGTGGTGGAGCTGGGCCGGACAGACCTCTGGCAGAGCCGGTGCCACAGGTGGCCTTCGCCACCATCTACAGGGCAGATCTCAGCTGGTTGGGAAGTCGCTGGCTGCATGAGGTCCCTCACACAGGCCTCACTCTTCTCTCCTCCCAGGGGCCACCGAGTCACCGTGCCCAGAGCAGAACAAATGGCTTCTGTTCAGGGAGATAACGAGAGGCACAGATCAGCTTGCTTTGGAGTCGCAGTGACAAATTGGCCCCCTCGAGAGCCTGTCCTTTGCCCGAAGCCCCAAGGCCATTCATCCCAGCTGGAGCAGGGACACCGTGCTTTCAGCCCCATCCTCATGGTTGCTGGCCCAGTGACAACATCCCCTGTCCTCCAGCCTGCAGCCCTTCCCTTAGCGACAGGGATGGAGCGGTGTCCCCAACCTGGCAGTCTCTTCTGTGCCTCTGTTAGTTTCTCATGGGCTGTGGAACCACCCTGAAAGTGGGTTCTTTAAAACCAAGGGTTGGGGGTAGGCATGTAGCTCAGTGGCATGGAGCCTGCCTGGCGAGCACAAGGTCCTGAGTTCAATCCCTGGTCCCCCCCGCAAAAAAAAAAAAACCCACAGCTCACTCCCTGCCCATGAGCCCAGGGGAGGACTGACCCTGACCTTTTCCGACCTCTGGTGGCTCTGGGTGCTTGTGTCTGGAATGGCCCCAGGTCTGCCTCTGTGCATGTGGCCTCATCCCAGTGTCACCCTGCGTCCCCACCTCATTTTATAAGGATCCAGTCGGTAGATCGAGCTCCACCTTCAGCTGGGGTGACCCCACCTGAGTCCACGAGCCAGGTGCACTTGTCACGCCCTCTCTGGCCCCCTGATGGAACAGGCTTCGGGGAACCTGGGCTCCCAGCAAGTTGATGCTCAAAATCCCTGAGGGTGGGCACGAAGCAGCCACCCACCAAGCTGCCAGGATGAGCATCCGGGCCTTGAGAACTGACGGACCCTTCATCTTCTACCTGGGGAAGCCGAGGACCCACGGGAGCAGAGCCGGCTTTGCTGCAGCTGTGGACAAGAAGGAAACATGCGCTGTCCCTGTTCTCCATGGCTGGGCGCAGCCAGAGTCTCCCAAGGCCTTCTTCCCGCGTGGGCAGGTTGGATGTGGCCTCAAAGGCCAAGGAGGAGCAGGGTGCGGTGACTGGAGTGCTCAGCTCTTCTGGGCTCCTCTGCAGAGCCCAGGGGTCAGCGGGTCCTCGTCCTCCTTCCTCCTGGGCGACTACTCCCTGCTGTCCTCAAACACGCGGCAAGGTCGAGGTGGGGCTGCAGGACAGAGCAGGCCTGAGAGCCAAGGCTGGCCCAGCCCTTGTCTGCCATCAGCAGCGTGCATGGCTGCAAAGGGACCAAAGAAAAGCCAGAGAGTCTGGGCTGGGCTGGGCTGGGCTGGGCCATGTTCGAAAGGAGAAAAAGAGAGAGTGCAGCAGAGGAGGAGAAGAGGAGGAGGACGAGGAGGAGGAGGGAGAAAAGACAAGCACGCCTGAGAGCAGCTGCAGAGCTTTCTGTGGAAAGCTGGGGGCAATGCTCCGAATGCCAGTGCTGACCAGTGACCAGGAGTCTCAGTCCTGCCCTTTGCCCCTGGCTGTCTCCTGAGCAGGGTGGCTGAACCCTGGTGCTTACCCCTCTCCACCCTCCACGGAGGGGTCTGGGCCGGCAGCCTGTTGGTTTTGTTTTGTTTTCTGATTTTGCAAGAGGCTTAGCAGAAGGGAAGGAATATTAACAAGGGCAAGGCCTGCGGGAGCGGGGGCTGCAGGAGTGGCAGGGCTGCCCTGTGCTCTCAAGGGGCTGGAGAAGGAGGCTCCCTCTGGGGTCAGCAGGGGACAAGTGGGAAAAGAAGAGGTCAGCCTCACCGACAGCACTGTAGGGCCCTTCCAGGGACAGAACCTCTGGTGAAGAGCTCCTGGTGTGCTGGGTCTCTTGGGGAGCCTCCAAGATGAGACCTGCGGGCCCCAAGGTCACCTCCCGCCTACAGTGCCCATGATCCCCACAGGGCCATCACAGGCATGACCGGGCTGTGCGGCCCTGCAGACACCAGGACCCTCAGTGACCACTGACCCACCGCGCGGACCCTGCTGCCCGAGTGACATCGTCACAGAGGGGTCAGGTGCCACACTGAGGCCTCGTGCCCACATTCCAGGGAACAGCCGGCCCCGGGGCTCTTGGGACACCGTTGGTTGGACGTTGCCGTGGGGGCCACTTAGCTCAGGAAAGGGCAGTGCCATGTGTCTCTGCTGTGGTTGGCCCACCAGGAATTCAAGGATAACCACCCGCCCTGAGATCCATGAGGATGAGCGGAAGGAGAGAGGCCTGCGGGTTGGAGGAGGGACAGCTCCCAGTGCTGCCCCAAGTCCCAGGACGGAGGTGACGGTAAACATCAACAGATCAATCGGTTTGATGTTTGTCGCTTCTCCATCGCTCCTTAGAGGTGCGTCTTGGAAAATGTATCAAACCAGGCTTTTCCCAGTGTTTTTGATCTGGCTGTTTGGGAATTAGCCCCCAGGCCTGGGACACACGAGTCCTCATTAGCACTTCAGACGCCCAAGTCTGGCTTTTGATTTCTCTGCTAGGAACTCTCCCAGCAGGTAACAGAGCAGCTCAGAGAGCTGGGTGGAAAGAGCCAGCCTGGAGGCGAACCTGAGGCTGAGGACGGCTTCCCCACGTGTCCCCAGCCCGCAGGTGTGTGCAGAAATGAGGCAGACCCCAGACAGCAGCCCCCAGACCCTGAAATCCAGGTAAGATATTCCTCCTGCTTGGGACCTCATCTTGCAAGTGTTACCCACTGCAGCCTCCTGGCCCATTTGGGTCAAGCTCTTGAGTCCCCGAAAGCCGGTCCTGTATCCCTCTCCCCACGGCCTTGCTCTGTGGCTCATTCTGTGTCCCCCAGAGTGGGTGTTGGGGGCCACGGATGTCACCTCCCTCCAGGCACACAGAGTCTGTGCAGGGGTTAAATAAGCACAAGCTGACTGTGGTCAGGAGCAATTGGAAGGGGCAGAAATCCCAGGACAGAACTGGGCTCCTCTCTCAGAAGATAATAAACCACAGCAGGTGAGGAACTGACCCAGCTGTGCAGGGTGGTCAGGAGTCCAGGGTGGGGCCCTCTCCAAATGGACTCACATGTTCTTGCTAAAACTGGGCTATGGAGGACAAGGCCCAGGGGCAGGTCCCAGTGAGGACATGGGTGTGGTTAGGATGAGTCTTTTGTCACTGCTCACGCAGGGGATGCAGGGTGGATTCGGTCCCTGGAGCTGCGAGGTGGCCCCAGCCTGCAGCCTCAGCTCCCGGCTCCCCCAGAAGCAGGAGGTCTTCACTGGGGAGCAGGACGGGGCTGATGTGTGGATCCTTCAGCCCCAAAGCTGGGCACGACGGTCCCTGAGCTCCAGCAGGGTGACAGAGCGGGCCTGGATCTTTCCCTCCACGAGCAGTCGTGGGAGAGGGCACTGGTCTTGGCTTGACCTCACACAGCCTCTCTGCAAGGGCCAGTAGCTGGGGCCCAGTGGTATCCACAGGGAAGGGTGACACACTCCCAGTCAGGCCTCTCCAGCGGGAAGTCAATGGGAAACAGCGCTTCGCCAACACCCCAGGCTGCCTTTCTCAGACCAGACGTACACACGGCACAGTGCATGTTCACTCACACACTTCTGTGCAAGCACGCCCAGGTGACTGCACGGAGGACCTCAAGCACACATGCACGCATGTGTGCACCCGTACATACACACGTGCATGCACTCCTGCATGTGTGATCGCACATAAACCTGCAGGGTGGGGACACACACTTTCCTAAAACCCGAACCTCCTGTCACCAGCTCCAGCCCTGGGGAAGTGAAGCTGTTTCCTCCTCAGTGCTGGTCTGGAAAGTTCCAGAAGACCTGCACACCCTGAAGTGCAGGCAGCAACCCTGGGGCCTTGTGCAGACTCTGAGCCTCTTCTGTTGCTGGGCCTGTGAGGCCAGCTGGGCTGTTTGATGCAGGAGTTGCCATCTGGACTCCACGAGGGGCAGAGCTGTTTGATCTCTTTGATCGGGCCGTGTGTAGCGCGGGCTCAGGGAGGTCTGGCTGTGGGGGGGGGGCTCCAAAGGCCGACGACCTGGTCATTGATCAAGGTTGGGCTCTTGCAGGTGGTAGCCAATCAGCCGGACTCAGGGCCCAGTCCCCTGAAGCGGAGGAGACACAACCACCCTGCCCACCCTGCTTCCCCATGCCTGGGTCAGGTCACAGAGGGCCCTGGGATCTTAGGTATTTCACAGGCCATAGGGAGGGCAGGAGGAGCTCAGCCCAGGCGAGGACAGAAAAATGACCCCAGAGAGACTCGAGCAGGTCCCCAGTTCACAGGATCTCAGTCCCCACAGGTGGTCACTTCCTTCCTCCACCCCAGGCACCTTCACCTCAGTCCTCAGTCCACAAGGCTGTGTACTGAGTTTGCGCCTGTCAGCTTTCAGCCTGGTGTTGCCAGGCCTCCCCTGTGCTCCGTGGACCGTCAGTCATTCCGGGCTGGCCTGGCCTGGCCCTCTCCTGTCACCTGCTCCTGGGGATGGGAGGAGGCTGCGCTGGGCAGAGGCTTCTCGGCTTCTGCTCAAAGGCATCATCTGTGCCCAGGGGCAACGTGGCTCCTCCTGAGCCACTGGGACCTCCAGGCAGAAAATGCCAGAGTCAGGGTGGACAGCAAGACAATGAGTGACATGTGAGCTAGTCTGTCCTCTCCTCTGCTCTGTAACTGGGACTTCTGCCCAGGCGAAATGGCCCTGGGTGCAGATTCAGGCTGTCCCTGCTCCTGTGGGGTTCCACACCACCCTCACATGACCTCGGGTGATGGTGACTCACAGAAGGTCCGGGGCCGCCTTTCTACAGGACTCAGTGTTCCAGGTGTCCAGCGACCCTGTGAGCACTGGCCATGTCCTCGTGTCTTGTGTGGGTCACAGAACTGTGTCGGTCACAGGATGGTGTTGCCAGAAGCTGGGCAGGAGAGGACGGCAAATCCAGGCCACTGGTGACAGAGACCCGGAGAAGGGAGCAGGGGGGGAGCGTGGGGAGGCTCTAGCCTCCCTGAGCTCCTCTTCCTGTCACACAGCCGCCGAGAGGACCGGTCTGCTGTGATCAAAACCTGACTGCACCGCGGCTTCACGACAGAGCCTGTGTCTCAGCGTTCGTCTCCCGGAGGGATGGGCCAGGCCGGACAGCAGCAGCGTCCGTGCGGCCATTGGGCTCGTGCATCATGGTCCTCTGCGTGGTCACGGTGGAGCCACCAGAGCAGGGGAGGAGCGTGGAGGCAGGAGCCAACCCCAGTTCCGACCTGAGCTGGAGGCCTGGGCTGACCCGGCCACACTGCCGCAGGGACAGGGAGGGCTGTGGCGCTGTGGGGAGGAAGGGTGTGTTCATGTTACGGGGTGGCCCAGGGCCTGGCCTGCCCACTGCCTCCTCCCCTGCCTGCTGAGGCTCAGGCCTCGCCTCCTTCCCCTTCTCCAGCCGAGCAGGGACACCAAGGCTGCCAAGGCCTCTGTCCTCCACCCCTGGCTTCCCTCGGGGCCCACACTGTCCACGTCCATTCTCCCCCGGCCGCTCTGCTCACACCCTCGCGTCCCTCCCTGGCCACGGCATTGGGTCCTCCTCTTCCGTCTTCCTTCTCAGGTCCCAGCCCGAATCTGCTGCCTTCTGGGACAGTAGCAGCCCTGACCCTGTGTCACCCTGGCTCTGCGACCCCAGCGCTGACTTCCCTGTATGGCCTCAGCTCCCCACATGAAGTTCCTGCCTGGGTGACACAGGCACACTCACCTCCCTGCCCCTTCCAGTCCCTCAGTGCAGGTGTCCTGTTTGTCCCCTCCGCAGCTCCTGCCTGATGCAGCTGCCTTTACCTCTACCTGCAGGGGCTGCGCAGGGCCTGAGGACACTGTGAGGATACTGTGGGCCCCAGGAGGGAATGGCCTCAGTGCACCTGCTGTGGCCTCCGTTATTCCCCTCAGCCCGGTGGCACTGTGAGATGTAACCAGGCCGGGGAGGGGTATGATTCACAGGACTCTTCTCAGCTGCAGGAACCCATCCTTTGGGCACCATCCAGCAAGGGAGAGACTGGGCCTCTTTCCGGGGGCTGCGGACCCCAGGGTGGCTTCTGGTTTCCGTTCCAGAGCTTCCAGTCAGTGGCTCCAGAAAGCTGCTTGCTCAACCCAGAAGCTCTGACAGCCCCTGGTCACTGTCCCCAGCTGTGTGTGTCTCTCTGTGTCTCTGCCTGCACCCTGCACCCCTCCCCACCAGGGATGAGTCTGGGAAGGCCACAGCCCTTGGAAGAGAGGGAAGTGACTGTCTGCAGAGTCCCACAGCGGCCTCTGGGCGGAAGCAGTCCCCCTTGGGAGATGGCATGTTCACTCAGGCGTTAATGAAGCGGTAAATCACCAGGAGCTAATTTTCCTGAATGAAATCGCCCCTTTGATGATTTGATTTTCCAGGGCCGCTGCTTGCACAGACCTGCCGTGGGCAGAGCCCAGAGTAAGGTCCCCTCACCTGCTCACCTGGCAGGTGTCCACCAGGAGGATGAGGGGGGCCCTGACGACATTGCTCTTGATGTCTGCCTCTCCCTGCAGCGCCTTGGGCCTCCTGACGCTGCTTCCAGTGGCCTGACCTGCTGCCTGTGGAAGGGCTGGCTGCTTCCTGGGGCAGCCCCTGAATGCCGGCAGCCCAGGAGATGGGGCCTTCTGGACAGAGTGCAGCCCAGGGCACAGCAGGCAGTGTGAAAGGGCGGATTACCCCTCCCAGGAAGAGAAGGCACGAAGCCCAGGTAGCCAGCTGCGGCAGAGAGCCTGCCCCCATACAGACAGGAAGGAAGGACACAGAGGCCTGGCCAGGTGGGTGGCCTGCTGTCCCAGGGCCGTCCAGGGGGCACCATAGAGGGCTGGGAGCCCAGAACCAGTGGAGAGACTTGAAAATGCTGCCTCAAAAATCAGAGCAACATGGGCTCCAGCAGAGGAGGGCCTGGGCTGCCTGGGCCTGGCAAAGGCACGAAGCATCCTTTCTGTCCAAGACACCGAGATGGCAGACACCTGGCCCTGGAACTGGACGACAGCCATTTCTGTGGCTTCTGCTACTGCCAGCCTTACAGTCATTTACTACACGGTCTCCCAGTGGACCCGCTCTGCTCAGGGCTGTGTAAAGGCAAATCCAGATGCAGCCAGCCGGAGGCTGTCACTGCCAGTGTAGCGCTGTTGGTGCTGTCACCTGACCCACCCCCGGGCCCTGGCATTCACAGCTTACCAGCGCCCCACATAGGAGGCCTGGTCTGGTCACTCTCTGCTGGCCACCAGCCCTGGCTCAGGGCACGTGTGACACATGGATGGAGTGTGAGCCAGGAGCCAGCAAGGGGCAGGTGCCGAGTCCTCCCAGCTGCTACTGGCCACAGGTACAGAGAAGAGGCATCATGGGTGTCCCATAGGGGTTCTCTAGAGAACAGCCAATAAGATTCCAGGAGACACACAGGGAGAGACTTATTTCCAGGGACCGGCCACCGTATGCCAACATGCACAAACTCCGTTACTAAATGGCCCACCTCGTCCTCCTGTCAAACGACCAGATATGAGGAGAGGCTGGGGGTCCTTGGTGGGCTCCATTTTGCCTCCCTGGCAGCTACAGAGAGGCTCCTACTGGAGAACAGTGGGCAGGCATTTAGTGGTTTGTCCTTGTCACCTGCCCTGCCCTTCAGGTTCGGCAGGTGCTACAGGTACCATGGACGAGCACAGCAGAGCACAGATGAAGCGGACCTGGCTTCCACTCCACACCCGTGCAAAGAAACATCTGTGCACAGTGGAACCTGCCCGCATAGGTGTACACAAGCAGGCATGCATGCAAGGCACACGAGTGTGCACAGGAGCATGCATGTGTTTTTGCACACAGAAGTGACTCCAAGCCCAGGAGCCGCACCAGGGGCACCTGGAAAGCAGGCAGTGCCCAGAGCTGCAGAGCGAGGTGTTCCGCAGGCAGGCCTTAACGTTCAGTGCGAGACAAGAGTCTCCCGTGGGCTGGAACCAGGACTTCTGGCCTGTCCATCCGGGCGGAGGCCCAGGCTCCACAGCCCTCGAGTCCCAGCGCTGTGTGGAGAGGCTCGGGTCTCCCCTTCCCCACGGGTGCCTCCCTCTCTCCTGTCCACAGCCCAGCGCCTCCTGCTGGAAGTCTGTCTTGGCCAGAGTCCTCTCTCTGCTCGGAGCCGGCTCAGCCCCACCTCCCACCTCCTGTGCAGTACTCTCGTTGAATTCTGACCCTCGACCTCGGGCCTGGCCTCCCGTCTACCCCGGCAGAGGAGCACAGCTTCCTTCTCCAGGTTCTGTAGTAGCTCCCACCCAGCCCCAGCCTGGATCATGTGTGCCGTGCGGACTTCATAAGCACTCCTTGCACAAGCAGCTTGATGGTGAGCTCATCCCCCTGCAGCTTGTGCAGGACTGGCCTGGGGCTGCTTACCCACAAGGGCGAAGGGCACACCGGCCGGCCCTGGCTGGCGGACAGTCTAGTGAGCCACATGAAGCCCCTGGAGAGCCTTCACCTCCTCCTTTCGGTCCCCACGCTCCACCTGTCACTTGTGCCCCTTCCCAGGAGACCTAAGGACCCACTTTCACTTGAGTTCTTGGTCTGTTCCCTCCCACCATCTGGTAGGAGGCCACAGCTCTCTCCTGGAACAGAGTTCACATGAAGCCCATCTGACAGCGGCTGCCCGAGTCCCAGCTCAGCAACCAGGAAGGATGGAGTCTTTTCAAATAAAACCATGTTTGTTTTTAATTACTGAAATAACTTTGCCCAGCTCCCAGCACTCTGGGGTGAATAGTGTGATGCATTGTAAGGACCTGGAGGCTACCGGGGCCTGGCCTCTTCCAGGAATTGGGGGCTTTGTGGTTAGCACAGGAGCCCCAGCCCTTACCGTGAGTGAGGCTCCAGTGGGGGGCTCAGGAGGGTTTCTTAGCACACCCACAGGAGGTTGCAGAAGCAGGCCCAGACTGCGGAGCCTCAGGACACACACACACACACACACACAAGGCCCGGTCACCACCCCCTCCAAGAAGGTGGAGATCCCCACCCAAACCTCCCTCAGGGAGCTGATCTCCCTGGTGTGCTCAGGCAGGACGAGCTCACTAACACTGTCCCCCATGGTGACCTCCTGAGCTGGCTGCATGGGCCTGTCCCCTCCCCAGCGTGTTCTGGCAGGAGTGGAGGGGCACAGCGGGGCGCGGTCACTGTGGCTGCCTCTCTCCTCTGTCCCAGGGAAGTTGGGAGCTCGTGGTTGAGGAGCAGCACCCAACTCTCCCGGGCACACACAGCCCCCAAGTGCACACACGACACCCTCCCAGTGCCCGTGAGCACCCGTGTTGTACTCCACCCGCACACTGAACCTTGGCTGTAAGGTGCTGCTCCATTTCCTCCTGCTCCCGACTTTGCTCATCCTGGCTACAGAAGGAAAACGAGCTCGGATGAAGATGTCCTGACTCGGGGTGAGGCCCCGCTCCTGTTACTCACTGCCTTCTGAAGACTTTAGCATTCCACAGGCTCCCTCCCTGCTCCTCCCAGTCCCCACAGCCCGGGTTGCATCCTTTTCATCCCTCACATTATTGCTCACGTCCTCTCTGAGCTATTGTGGCATCCGCTGTCCTCCTGAGGCTGAGTGAGGTTTTACAGAATGAATGCACACGGCTGAGGTAGATATTTCCAGTGCAGACCCGCGGCAGCTGGCTGGGGACCGGTGGCTTTTATCACCCAGGTGAGTGCACACCGCCCGCCCCACCCCCCGAAACCTCCCAAACTGCTTTTTCTTGATCTCTCGGTGATGATTTTGTTCAAAGACTCTTCTTATATTTGCCCTTTGGGGCATTTTTGCCCATGGTGATCTCTTTATGATCACAGGATTATAAGACCCAGTGGAATTCACCCAGTGGCTGACCCTCTGTTGCCAAGCCAGCCTCCGAGAGAGCAACTGCGCTGCAAGGGGCTGTTCCGGGCACCCGAGGTCACCTGGGGCCGGCCTTCCCTCCTAGGCCTGGCAGGGCGCCCAGCAGCGAGTGCTCCCGAGTCTAACCACAGTTGCTCCTGCTGTAAGTGTCACTGTCCTCTTGGCGGTTCTCCTGCTCCGCTTGCGCAGAGGGTCCAGCCTGGACTGGCAGCTTGGAGAGTCCAGAGGCGGGGGAGAAGAGCACGTCCATTCTTGGGGACTCAGCGTCCCCTTCCCAGAGACCTGGCTTGGGCTCTGGGCTTCTGAAAGCCCTCCCAGCCCACTTGGCTCCCCGCTGATCCCTGCATCTGGGCAGTGGACGTCCACCGGCCCCAGCTCTGCTCCGTCCACCCACTACGGAGAACATTCACTCATACCCTTGGCTGTAGGTGTACTTTTTTCCTTCTAGCTCTGAACTTGGGGGAAAAAATCTCCAAAATATGAATTATGTATTGAAAATTCAGGCAGAGCAATCACGGGCAATAAATAATTCCAAGCTACAGACACATTAGTTAGCTGTACAATTCGCTTACAGGAGAAACCAACCATCTCATTAACAACAAGCAGAGGCAGAGCCTCTCTAATGTGGGTTCCATCCAAGGGTCGTGCCTCGGGGAGGGACTGGCCACTCCCTTCTCCACACAGTCCCCTCCCTGCTGCCCCTACAACGAGTCTCCGGTTGGAAGAGTTTTCCACAACCTGCATGGTTGGACTGCGAAGTCCAGGCTCCTGCTGGGACTCCAGAATCTTCCCAGGGATAGGGGAAGCTCCAGGTGAGCATATAAGCAATGTGTAGTTCACCAGACACGCTTGAGTACTTCTGCGGACCCTTGGCCTCCAAGCTATTTGCTGTCATCCTGGCCATCGAGTTGGCTGTGATGTCCGCAAAGATGTCTGGAAAGATGATTTGCTGAGCAAGGGTGGACCCTGAGATCTTAAATATGCCCACTTTCCCAGCGTGTCCTGGCAGGGGTGGAGGGGCACAGTGGGGTGCGGTCACTGTGGCTGCCTCTCTCTGTCCCAGGGAGGGTGGGAGCTCCTGGTTGAGGAGCAGGGCCAGGAGCAGAGGCATTTCCCAGCCCATCTGGGGTGGCCGCTTTCCTGCCCTGCAGTTCCCGTTCCTGAACCCTGCGTGGTTTCTCTGCCTGGGCGCCACGATGCTCTTGATGTGAAGGTCCTCGTCAGATTTTGGTGCTGTCACACAGGACTGTTACCCTAGCCCCAGCTTTCCCGGGACACACAGAGCTCGAGTCTAAGCAGCCTGCCAGGGTGCCGGGGTGTGGGGGATGGGGACGGGAAGCAGAATGAGACACACCCAAGCACCCCTGAACCACTTCGGACCCCCTCCGGCTGCAGCGGTCCGGAGGTGCCTGGCTCACATGCCGAGACGTGGCCCTCAGAGTGGAAGGGCCGGGTGAGGCCCCACGCGGTTCGGCAAACTTCCGGCTGGCCTGCCGTGTCCACACAGATCTTGTCTCTGGGGAGATGGGGTGCAGGGGAGCCCCGGTCAGCGCCAGGCTTCAGGTGTACAGCAAGTCCCAGGATCAGTGGTGCCTGCTGTCTCCCTCCCTGACATGGCGAGACCCTACCTCGCGGGTCCCACATGGGTGGAAGCACCAGGCTCCTGCCTGTGTCCCTGGCCACATGGTGGGCACCAGGCAGGAGCTCAGCACACAGACCCGCTCCTCCCTCCAGCAGAGCGCACGCTCGGCATTTTAATGCCTTAAAAGCCTTGGCTTTCTCTTTGCATCAGTTTCATTCTGACAAAATATTAAAATTAAGCTTTGAAAGCCTGCACCACGGTCTGGACCCCAGACCAGGCTAGCAGAAGCATGAGCTGCTTCATAGCGGCTTAAATATTTAAAG